AGGCCTCAAAGCGCCCACTTTTGACCCCTTCCCGCTTCTTGCATGTACGCTACAGACCTGGCAAAGGTGGCAAAGGCTGGGCCCTCTTGTCGTGTTTCGTGTGCCCAACCCTACGCCAAGGGGGTGGGTTCCCGCCTTTGTCCCCTTTGCCAGGTCTGTAGGGTACATGCAACAAGGCAGCGGGGCCCGGCCTTGGCCACCTTTGCCAGGTCTGTAGGGTACACGCAACAAGGCAGCGGGGCCCTGCCTTTGCCAGGTCTGTAGGGTACATGCAAGAAGCGGGAAGGGGTCAGAAGTGGGCGCTTTGAGGCCTTCCCGCCCGGCAGCCCCTCGGCAGGCCTGGCCAATAAGGTGGCAAGGCTGGACCCCTCTGGCGTGGTCCACCCCCGATCCATCCACAGGGGGGGGGGGGGCCTCCCTCCCTGGTACATACATAGTAACATAAGTATTCCAAATCTTCACAATACAACTATCAACCTACCGGCGAAACCTACCACTCATCATAATATCTACTATGTTCTAGAGCTACCTGCGAAACATCAACCCATCTGAGTATGAGTCCGCTTCAATATTCCACATCGTGAAGTCTATCCTCATTAGCGAACGTAGAACTAGGTAGCAGCTACAGACTGACTAGAGGACGTGGTGACCGCGCTGCCTACTCAAAATAGAAAAATAAAGGTTCACACCTCTACGTGCAATACGTCTAGTACCAGAAGAATAAAAAAGAAGTACAACTACAGTACTTCTTAAAGTTGTACTTGCTATTCTAGTTATCTTATATAGTCTAGGTATCCCATTGTTATTGAACAACAATAGGCGCATCTAGTAGACCATAACAGCGATTTGGTCGTCCAGTTTTTCGAAGATGCTCTTCATCATTCCCAGAGGGCCCCATGCCTCCCACACTTTGGGCTCTTCCACGAGGGTTTAGAACTTTCAAGAGGTAGCACACACACAGTCTTCTATAAGCCACATTTTTCTAGGCATGATTTACTTGGACGTCACTCCTCCTCATAGAATAGGATAGGGCAGCACGAGACCCCCTTTTTTTTGACTTTGCCCTCTAGCTAGAGTTGTTCAATGGGTAACACATTTTCACTTTTTCAAAAACGTGTTCCGCGAGTGTGCGTGTACAACTCGTTCCTACATATATACTTAGAAGTATGCGATTGCGAGGTGTCCCTACTACTAGACAAATGTCGGGTCATCTTCCTCTATTATCTATGTTCCAGTTTACAACTAGGAGGTGTTGGATTCTGAGTTGAACAGTGTCACTCTCTTAAGTTGTAATCCTGAGATGGTGTGCGAGGAGGAGCAGACCCCTCTTGACCATAGGCGGGATGAACTCGATGCAGAGAACATTAGAAAGAAGTCAAAAGCTTAGTGGAGTCAGTGGAGAAAATTTAGTGGAAAAGACACCTTATATTCATTTCCAAAGCTTAGTATCCTCAACGTCGACACTGTACCAATATCGACAAAAAATTTAGTATCCTGAACGACACTGTACCAATATCGACAAAAAATTTAGTATCCTGACCGACTCTTTACCAAAATCAACAAAAAACTTTTTAGTATCCGAAACTACGAAACTGTACTAGTATGTACTAATAATAGAGACTTTGCAAAACAACCAGATGAATTGAAAGACACTCTCGCAGATAATAAGGAACAACCATTAGTGCTTTGTTTATTTTAGATATATGAGTGAACATGTAAAGGTATGCGGCAATGAAAACTGTGTTAGCGCCCAGCTTTGGACAACGAGGACGAGGGGAGCCAACAACTGATTATAGTGAATAGTCGACTCAGTCGCTCGAGAATCGCCAAGATGAAGCTGTTCTATTTTTAGCCTATCAGGAAAGGAAAGGAAAGGATAGGACAGAATAGAATACTTACATGTCATAGGAATGGGCCCACCTTCGAGAGGGCAAGCCTGTACCTGCGCACAGTAGTTCTATTTTCAGCCTATCAAAAGCAGCCGACGTCCTGTCAGTGAACATAGGCAGTGCTAGTATGTTGAAAAGTTTTAGTCGCCTTATCTCTGTCCTCCTCGTCCCGGCCGTTTGGTCCCGTCCCTTGCATTAGCGAATGGGCCTCACTTTCCTCCCTCCAGTTACTTGCTTCCCTAGAGTCGGAAGGAGCAAGTCTACCTATTCTGTAGGAGAGCCCTACGTCTACCTATTCTTCAGTAGACGTAGAGCCTTCCTAACTAGAAAACTGAATTTATGTACAGCACGCACCACGACTGACCCTGTTCCTGGAACCTAAATTTGCTCCTTCCGACTCTAGAAGCAAAATCAAGTAGAGCCCCGACTGGAAAAGAAGAAAGTCAATCACGTGACATATTCACTTCTAGTACTACAATCAACAAAGCCTACAAGTTAATCAACTGCATAGCATTGATGAATCAAGTATAAGTACTTACTCATTTTTTCTGTTCATCCGTTTAATATTGCATGATGATGATATTATACACAGCAACGGGAAAAGACAACCTTATATATTCCGTTTGTAGTTGCATAGCAGCAGCTCCCACTTCTCTCTGAGTTCCCTTGTCGCCTTCGCCAACGCGAAGGAACCGTGACCGCGGATATTCTCATTCTTTTCTTCCTTGGCTATGTCTTCCCAGTCCCTCCATGTGTATCTCGGAGGGTTAAGAATATACGCATGATTAGAACCTCCCTAGAAGATCCTTGTTCCACCCAGTGTTGATGTGTAATATAATGGAGTACCTTCACGAACTAGAAGATTCGTGTTCCAAGTGCTGATGTGTATAATGCAATACCATTTTCAAATTACCTTATAATATATTATTAAGCTAAACTTTTTCATCTTTTTAAGGTGTGAAAACTGTAACGCGCGTGCGCGTTACGCACGCGCGTTATAACGCGTTACATACGCGCGCGCGCGTCACTCACGAAATAAGGCGCGCGCGCGTAACATGCGCGCGCGCGCGTAACGCGCGCGGGTGGGCGGGGTGCGCTCGCGGCCAGGCTCGCGGCCCGGCTCGGGCTCGCGTGGGCCGGCTCGGGCTCGCCTGGGCCGGCTCGGGCTCGCCTGGGCCGGCTCGGGCTCGCCTGGGCCGGCTCGGGCTCGCCTGGGCCGGCTCGGGCTCGCCTGGGCCGTCGCGCGTGTGCCACTGAACTCGCACGGGGCCCGTCGAGCTCGCACGGAGCCGGGCTCACACAAGGCCGGGCTCGCACGGGGCCGACTGGGCTCGCACGGGGCAGGCCTCGCACGAGCCTGCCCG